AATTCTTGTGTACACTCAGTTGTGACTCCTGGGCAAAGGCTTTTCCAGAGGCACTGCATTCAAATGACTTACCAGTGTGAATTTTCTTAACTACAATCAAGACTGACAGGTAAAAAAACCTTTTCAAATTCAGTACATCTATACATCTTTCTCTAGTGTTAGCATTAGTGTACAAAGATGTGAACTTTTGGTGAATGCTTCCTCATATTTAATACATGTATAAGATTTTTCCTGAATGTTTGCAGATATTCACTGAGGTGTGACGAATTTTCCAGCTACTCTCTCTCCAGTGTGAATTCTCCAATGTTCAAATGTGTCTTTTAAAAGGCCTGGTCACATTCAGTACAATTCTTCTTGTATACAAATTCTTCAATGGAACCTGAATACTGACCAGTGGGTGAGGTCTTTCCTACTTTATCCACAGAACATATCCACAGTTAAGTTCTCAACTCTACTTTCCACAGAAGCCTGAAGGTGGTTGAGTAGTCTTTAAGTTCCAATCAGAGCCGCTGTAAGTGGGATAGTCTCAGAAATGATCTCTCAGCCTCGACGTAGTATTTTTACCTGAGATACCAAAAACTCCAAACCTTGTGGGTTTTAGAGAACTGACAAGATTTAATGCTGAGTGCCTCAGGAAAGAAACCATTTGGAACTTTCAATGTCAACAGTAAATTGCCTGAGGACCACTTTTGCTTTCCTTAGTTTTTATTTTACCGAAGGCCTGCTTGGTGATGAAGTACCTTACCTAGCTTTTGTCTGGAACCATCTTTATTCCACCAGGGCCTTTCGTTGGCATTTCCCGCCTCAGCACTTTAACGATGTCATTCCACTGTTTTCTGTCCTTGATCATTTCTATTGAGGTTATCAGTCTTACTGGTGCTCCATTGAAGGCAATGTCTTCTCTCCTTTGATTTTTAGTATTTTTGCCATGGGTACCTAGGTATAGTTTTTAACACTTAGTTCTGCCTGACTAGAATTGGCTGAACTTTCATCTGTGAGCTTTCACCAATTTTGGAAAACTGTTGGCCATAATCTCTTCATTGTTCTTGCCCCATTCCTTCTCCATGACTTCAAATTACATGTTAGATATTTTGAACATATCCTGCTTCACTGGCATTAACTATTGATTATCTTGTCTTCCAGTTCACTTTCCTTGTTTTCTGGTATAATCTGTTACCTCATCTAGAGAGTTCTTAATATTTCAGTTCTAGCATGTCCTTTTAAAATAAAACATTTTTGATGAAAACTTTCTTCTATTTTTCAACCTTTTTGGACATTTTTTTCACATAAAATCACGATTATAAAGTCGTCCAACTCCACAATTTAGATTGATTCAATTCTTTCTCCCCTTTTTATGTCAAATGACTGTTGCTTCACATATCTAGCAATTTAATTTTATGCCAGATATTGTATAGTAAAGAACATAGAGGTTCCAAGACAATTCCTTCCTCTAACGGAGGGCCCCCTTTCCTGTTAGGCAAAGTTAATGGTTTTGATAAGATTTAGCCCAATTTATACCTGTTTTAAGGTATAGACCCAGAAAATTTCCAATTAAAAACCTGGACCTTTGTTTATGCAGGCTTGAAAGACTGCAAGGGATTCAGCTTTGCCTTTCAGAAACTTTCAGCTTAGCTTTTTAGCCTCACTACGCTCAACATTTAACAGGTATCTTGAAAGGCTATTCTTTCAAGGCCTTTCAAAAACTCCAATGTTGTCACTCCAGCTCTATGCAATCATTAATTAAAAGCATAGCTGGTTTCTCTTTCCTTTAACATGGCCCTCTGCCTAGGTCAAATCCAGATCCCAAGACTGAGCCCAGATTCTGCAAAAGAAATTGGGTGAAAAAAAAAAAAATTTAACTATGGGAGGTGAACATACAATGTAAATGTATGTGCCTTATGGTTAAAATGTACAGCTGAAACTTACTGGATTTCATTAATCAATGTCACCATAAAAATAAATTTAAAAAAATAAAAATAAATTTTTGATCTTCCAATAACCTTTGAAGAGTTCTCCCCTCTGTGAGACTGAACCCATTTTAGATCTAAGTTCCACATGATGCCTTTAAATATGTGGTTTTTGAAAGTAATCCTATTTTATGTTAATATTGGTGTGTTGACCTGCTGTGACCTACTACATCTCGTACAAAAAGAGAACCTCTATAGTGTTTGTAAAGCAAATATTAAAGTGATAGAAAAATGAAAATGATGACTTTGGAAAATTCAGAATATAGTTATATTAGAATACTAAAAATCATTCTGGAATGCAAATTACTCTTCTCCAACTCCTTGCTCTTTTTTTTTTTTTTTGGTCAGTTTTCCTTCTATTTCCTTCGTAGAACCCTTTCATTCACAGTTAAAGGGAAGAGGAAACTGTAAAGTTACTATTTTTTAGGACATTAAAAGCTTCCTTACTAATATGTCCAGATAACTGTCATTAAAAAGCTTGGTTTTAACTAGATTACAATTTGATTACAAAATTGCTTTGAACTATATCAGTCTACATATTGATGAGTTTAATTGAAAGACAACATTTTTCATGTAATTAACCCTTACCAAATGAATAATTTCTTCCAGAAACTCTTTGGTCCTCCCCAGATGCAATGTATAAGCACATAACTCTTGCACCTCAGAGATTTGTACAGTTGATGGCTTCTGCACAGCTTGATTCTTAGGAAGTTCCCAAAGTGATTGATGTTTGGAAACCACTGCTATAAAAAGAAAAACATGAAAAAGACAGCATATTCTGAAAACCTCTAGTTATTTTAAAGGAACTCCTTTAAACCTAAGTCTGAATCTGTTAAGATCTGTCACCTATAATCCTTATATAGCACTTACAGACTAAAAGCAGCCAAAAAGATTTCAGAAAGAGAAACCTACACTTTGAAGAGACCATCCATTAAATAAAATGATGGTCACATTCTTTTAGATCTATTATGGATATGACTTTTATATTTTAGGGGTAGTTGTTTAAAAATATCAATCACTTCACTTATGTCACAATTTTTGAAATATTTACAATATGATCATGATTAATGTGAGTGGAGATGCTGACCTCAAAAATATTACTTTGTCATCCTTCAGAATGCAAGTAAGACTATGAAATCAATTCAGTTCTGATGTATACAATTACAGCACCAAGTCTCACAAAAATAATAGTATGAAAATGAGCATTGTTCTAATTTTACTTATTTTAGGGTATATAAAATGTAAGTTGGCTTCACTGAACACCTAGAAAGACATTTATTTGAATAAAATGAAATACAAAGAATCTAGAAAAAAGGGAAACTAAGAGCCCCAAATTTAAAACTGATATTTTTAAAACTGGCGAGTATCTAAAAAATATTAAATTAGGACAAAATACTCAGTTCAAGGTCACAAGAAAATGATATGTGAGTACAGATACATAATTAAAACAAACTTGGATGAATTTGTGAAGCAATGAATAGGTTAATTTTTATATCTACATCACTTATATTAGAATAAGATTTAATACAAAATAGAAATAACTTTAAAAATGTTATAACACCCAGAGAATCTTAACTAAAATTTAGGCAAACTATTAGAACAGGAGAGCCATTATTAATTTGTTTATAATAATTTTTACCACTTGAGGCAAATAAAACAGACGATTTGCATGATGGGAATAAAATTCTAAACTACAAATTCCTTAACATCTACTCAAAGTTCATATATTCCAAGTCTTAGCACTCCTAACTACTGGTAAAAATGACTAAACCAGAACTGCCAGCACTGCATTAATTTCAAATTTGGTAATTTTCTATATTAAACTTAGTAATAACAAATCTTAACTTTGACTACCATTAAGCTTTTAAAAATTATTCTTACTACCTGCAAAATTTATGTAAAAGACTAATATTAAACACTTCAGAATTTGAACAATGTGAGAAATATGGATTCTCCCTTCTACGCACATACCCACAGAGATAAAATTAATGTTATGGGAAAAAAAATGCAATCATGCTCACAGGGTGATGAGGAGGTTCAACAGAATACTGAATATTCTGAGTTAACTAGATTTTAACTGCTCTAAAAGGATCATAATACGTGGATCACAATTAATATCCCATTAGCACATTATGAGCTATCACATTAATATCTCATCTCCAATATCTAGTTGTTGGATATTGAAGATATTAATGATATTGAAAATGAGATATTAATGCTTCCAGTATTCTCAACTACATACAGATGCTACCAAGAAATCAATTTTGAGTAGTTCCTTCCCTTATTTAATCTTAGAAAATTTTATTTTCAGACATTTAATAAATTGAAAAGGCTACTGAGAACTTCAGGAGTTCAAATACAATAAAAAATTAAACATGTCCCATAAGTATTGAAACAAATCAGAAATTGTTCAGTCTAGGAATTAAGGTACTTAATAAAATGATTAAATTCAAGATAAACACAAAGATTCAAGTCAAACAGACCTCACTAGATCCACAGAACTGACAATATATACCCATAAAGTTTGGCTTAGTATTCATAAACCACGGAAATAAAAATATGTTCTTCAATGTAAGCAGCTCTGCTATAAAATAGAATAGGCTTCAAAATATTTCTTGTGGCTCAAAAGAATATCTAGCCACAGCTTAAAATTCAGATCTAGGTAATCGTTTCTTATAGCAGTTGATCTGTATAGTTTTCCTGAACATTTTAAAATTTAATTTTTATCTGTATACATACAGTAACAATTTTGAATCCCCTCTCATGGTACAGTAAAAGCTCAATAATATACTTCCCTAATAAAACTTTCATCATATTGACATCAACTTATTTTCCTATTTTATGCACAAAAAATAAGCTAATTTTTTACCAATGAAATGGTAAAATTAGAGGCAACTATAACTTAAAATTATATAGCTTCTTAATGTTTTATTCATAGCATTCTTTATACAGAAGAAACTTCACTGATATTTACTGCAGCATCCTGTGGGTGAAGCACAAAATTATATTAATTATAAACAAAAAACAAAGCACTTTTGACTTTTAAAAATTATATATATATTTATATCCAGTTGACAAATAGCATCACAATTATTACTGTATAAAAAACTAAAAATCACCATGGAAACTAAGGCCTAAGTTCTTACTCCAACTTTTGTTTATATCTAAGAGATATTCAAAATTAAATTCCCGTACCTCAAAGAAAAAGTCTACATTATTTACAAAGAGTATGGAAAATAAAAGCTGCTTTTCAACTAAGTTAGATTGCTGTTACCTACAGTATTTACATTGTAAAAGGGGGTTGGGGTGGGGAGCACTACTAACAAATACCATTTCAAATAGAAATGTATTGTGCCTGGAATTTTATTCTAAAATTAACTGTGTATCCTAATAAGTGTTTGTTGATCAGAATATGACTTCCAATAAATCTACTGAAAATTTGTAAGAGTACCACTATCCTTCTTCATATTGCTAATCTAGATACTATTAAGTACAATACTGTAATAACTATAAGCACTGAAGCTTAAATGAAACAATGCCAACATATATGTAGATGGAATTTTATTTAAAATTGTAAAATATAATGCCTTAATGTTTTCTCATAATGAGACTAATATTTTTTCCATCCTTTAAGAGGTCTCATATATATATGTCCCTAAACAGTGAAACCTTCCAGTAACTTACCAGAAAAAAAGTTTAATTATATTATTCTGTTCTTAGAATTATTTTTCTAATATTTAAAAACATATCTAAATCCTTGGCAAAACAATGCAATCAATTCAGTGTAACAGACTGAGCTTTAAATCGCACTTTAATTTTCAATTAACTATAACCTACTAGTTAAGTGAACCAAATGCAGAATTTTAAATGACTCACTATGAAGATTTGCAAATCAATTGTAGAATGCATAGAAAAGTGGAGATAAGTTTTGGGGAAGGTGTAAGGTAGTTAATGTAGAAAATGATAAATGCTAATTTTAACACAAATGGTACTAAATGCACATGAAAGTTAACAGTATAAAAGAGAATAGCTTAAATAAGCTGAGATTCACATATTACAATAGCAAAGTTATGAGTGAGTGAACTGAAGACACGAACAGTTCTGAAAATTCTCTTTTCAGCCTACTTCCAAAGAAATAGTCAGGCTTTTTTCCTGTACATAGTTTTGAGCTTTGTCTATACCATATATAGTAGAAAAATAAATTCTTTAGCAACCTAGAAACAGTTTATAAAACTCTTAAAGTTTAATTTTCTTTGCCAGACATGCCAATGTTAAACTGACAGCTATAAATTAAAGCTATATAGACAATAGGTATAAGTAATATAGAACAAGTTAAGAATACTACATTTACCGGATTTTTCTTTTTAAAAATTACTGTACTTTCTTAATTCCTGTGTGCTTTGCAATAGGAATAATAGGGACTTTGTTTTCTTAGAAAAGATAATAACATGGAAGAGTATAACACAAATAATTTATAATATACATGTACTTTAACAGCAGCCTGGTTCATGTCAACATCTTGATTCTGAAGTTAAAATCAGAAGTACAATACCTAGGACATAACAGTTGGGAAAGACAACATTTATTTTAGGAAAAAAATGGAGCAAATCAAACTCTTGGGAGCCTCAAATCTCAAAATCATCTGTTTACTATAATACACATAAGATAACCTTAAAATTGCAGTAGAAATGAAGATTAAAACATGGACCAAGGAATTTTCTCTTTACTATACAAAATATAACCTAGCAATGAAGAACAAACCACTTTTTTTTCTTTCTAGAAAAAAAATGGCATGGTGTGATAAAGAACAAATCTTGAATAAAGCCTAACAAAATTTACCTATGCTACCTATTCTGAAAAATTTCTCCATAATTTAGTGTTCTGGTTGTACTTCACCAACAAAATGTTTAACCCCAGAAGCAGCAGTCATTTACAGCAAATCTGGTACCAACATCAAAGGGAAATTGGTTTAAAAAATGGTGTAAAAGCCACTTTAGATCTTACTACAACATCATCACAGAAAAAAATATGAATACAAGTTTGCAATTATATATATATACACATTCCAAAGAGGCTGTCAGTACCCAAAGTATTTTTATTGCTATATTAGCAATGGATTTTTGGATATGTTTTTAAGGGCCACATAAAAATAGATTCAAGGAACAGAGTAAATTGAAGTCCTAGATTAAAATGTTTGGTTTAAAGAATTTTCTACAACAAATTTCATGTTTATGTATGAAAAGTTATATAACCTTATATGAAAATGTCATGAAGTATTTTCTACACTATACTAAAATGTATTTCCCAAGAGGGAAAAAAATTAAAATATCTAAAATATATTAGATTAAGATTACAAGACCATCATAGATCTTTTGAACATGCATCTGTTTATAGAATTAACAGTATACAAGATGTTTATTTCATTATGGACCATAAAGAAATGAGTTGGTGACAACTATCCTTTGCACAACATTATCAACTCACTTTAGCCACAAGCATGTCCTTGGTATGTGTGCACAAGAAATATGTTCATTTTACCCCTCATCGTATCATCCACAGGTTTACTTAGAAGATGAAGGTACAGAAATGTTAAGTGTATTTTTCTTTCAAACATCCCGAGTATGGCATAAGTAGCCGGAAATTATAAAATACCTAACTGGGCTTTTAATTATCTACACGGACTGATAAAATGTAAATTAAGTTGCCCAAATTAGCACATAAACAAAACCAGCCATAAAGCAGGCTGAAAAGCATTAAATGTTTCATATATGCGAGTTTTAAAATCATTTAATTTCTATAGAAAAATTTTATTCACAATATAATGTGACAGAAAATGCCACAGGAATGATATACTGATTGCAATAAGGTTGCATGCAACAGCAGCTTTGTATTTTATAGCTATTTTTGTTTATAAAAATTAAATCTCTCCAGTCATGCTTATCACATGGTCTTAGATTTGTAATGTAAATTAAGGAATACCATATAGTTCAAAGAGAAAATGTCTCATCATTTTGAATGTGAATTATCTGTAAGAAACATGAAATATACTACTGAACCCTGAAACATGCATGTCTAGATTTGCTTTTTGTCCATTTTCAGGCTGTCTGCAATCACTTCCTACTCATATGATACCAAGAGGATCCGTCTGTAACTGTGGTTGTATCAGCTGAGGTTGCAATGGTGGTGGTAACTGAAGCGGTACCATTGGTTCCACCAACTGTCCTGGGTTTGAAGGTGGTGGAGGAGCCACAGTATTTGCAATTTCTACAATTTCTCCATTGTAAAAGAAAAACTGACACTGCTGAATGAATGTTTCAACAACGGATTGATGGATCTTAGTGGTAGACAGAAATTCTCGATTTTCAAAGTCGGGTCTCATCAGGGTTGGCCAAAAACAGATGGATAAGTTGTCTGCTGTCATTAGGTTGACTTTATTTTGCTGACTAACCCTAAAATTATGATAGAAAAAATCGATTAGAAAACCAAAGCTCATTATAATTAAAGAATCCTAGAGTTGAAAATGATCTCAGATGATTTTGTTTCACCTTTTATCTTAGCTTCAAATTTAAAACATTCTATGTTCAACCACATTCCAGTAACAGGAGACAAAAGTAAAATCCATTCCTTATGTGACTCAAAGTTAGTCTAAAAAAGGTTGCTTGGGTTTTATAATTTACTTATAGAATAGAAACCACCTTAATTTATGTGAAATAACCTTTTTTTTGCTCAGGAATAGGACATGTGACATACTTTAATGAGTTTCTGGCAACAAAAACAGAACATTCTAATTGCATATGCACATTCTTTGTCAATAGTAATAATGACAGATGAAAAGACAAACCACAGTATGCCACCTCTTTGAACCTTGGAAAAATAAAACTTTGAACTTTAGAAAAACAACTTTATCCAACCAGGAGACTTTTCCACTTTGAAAAAAATTAGTTTCTAGTATTCTAAAAAGCAATCTTTTCAATCACTAAATATCTCATACATTGTTACAAATTTAATTTGAAAGCCAAATGCAGTTCACAGAAACATTCTACTTTAAAATTATTTAAATGATTTAACAATAAACATATAATATAAATAAACATTATTAACATTACTGCATCCAGTCCTTTAAATTTGAGGCGAGCACTTCTATACCCATCTATAAGTAAGAAACATAAGGAAAATCTTGAAATATAACAAAATTATTAAAATGAGAAGGAATCTTAAGTTTTTTATCTAGTCCTCTCATTTCACACATAAACATCCCAATATGCAAGGTAGCAGGAAATTGTCATACTTAAATTTGCATATAAAAAAACTGATAACCAAAGGACCCCTCACTCACCACAGGAGTTGCTCATCTGAGGAAAAATATGTGCCCTAAAAACATGTTCTGTGGCAAAAGTTATTGCTGTTTTTTAAGATTAGAATATTCAGAATAAAATCAACCTTTTATTAAAATGTAGTGAGCCCAGTTAGGTGTTTTTATGTAGCAGGCAAGTATAGATTCTGAAAATACCTATAAAATTGAAAGACATAAGAGTATGGAAGCATCATTTCTAATTGCTGAGTTGAAGTACAAATCAGTTAGAGATAAGGGTGGTTAGATATAATCAAGGCTTCCTTGCGGAAGTAATGTCTGAGTTGAGTCCAGGGTGATAAGCGTTGGTAAAATGGTAGGAAGGAAGGATAATTCGGTCAAAACTCTGGTTGTCTCAACTTCAGTGTGTACCTCCTGATGAAAGACTATGTCTAGGGTGTGGCCTGATAATTTGCATTCCTAACAAGTTCCCAGGTGATGCTGCTGCTGTTGGTTTGAAGACCGCAGCTTGAGAAAGACTGAACCAGTCATGTTAAGATGTGATGAGGGATGACCATAAATTCAATCTTTTGGTTAAGTGCTATGAGTTTAATAGTGTGGCACTTAGTTAGTGAGTGTCTGGGGGGGAAAAGGAAAGGAGATGTAACTGAAGAAGTTAAAATTATACCACTTAATGTTAAATAGTTTGGATTTTTTTCTGCAGGATATATGGTGCTATTTAATTGGAAGTGATCTTTACAGAAAGATCTTTTGGAAAGATCATTCTGGCGTCAGAATCAAGGGAGAAACAAGAGGAAAAACTGGCAGGGAAAAAGTCCAATGAAACCAGAGCTCACTATATGAGAAATGATAAAGCCTAAACTAAGGCAGTGCTAGAGGAATGAAAGGAAAAATAATTAGGAGAAAAAGCTGATTTGATGCAGTAACTCACTAAATAGAAAAAGAGAATATAAACAAAGAATAACTCTATGGATTAATTTTTGCTATCTGCTGCTCATCCATTATATATTTATATTTATCATTTATTTCCTAGGAATGTAAGTTCCATGAAATAGGTGACTGCTTTATTCACTATGTCCCCAAGACTTATAGACTATCATGATACTCTGTGTGCTAGATACTCTTTATTCACAAGAGTATCTAGCACACAGAGTATCATGATAGTCTAGCTGAGAGTATCCCCTTTAAAATTTAAGTCTGAATGTTATTTCTCAGTCTACAGCCATACCACCCTGAATGTGTCCAATCTCGTCTGCTTATGTTTTCTCTGTTCTGCTCTCCATAACCACTCAGAGTAACAGACATGCAATACTATTTTCACTGAGAAAGTCTTGCCCCACCCTCAATCAACTAAATGTCAGTTGAATTCCAGCGTGCTTAAGTGACATAGATGAAGCATCCTTTTTATCTTGTCAGTAAAACATTTTGAGGACTAAGCTATTGATCTGGCACTGTCCCTCTTCCCTTTCTGATCTTATCTCTAACTCGGTCCATCGCTTTGCTTGAATCACATAGGCCCCTTTTGTTCCTCAACATACCAAATATGCTTTTGCCTGTGTTATATCACTGGAGCCAAACACAGTGTCTAAAATAATATTAATGGCTAGCACTATGATTTTTTGAACATACTCATCCCTTTTCCCTATTCTTTCTAATGAAGTACAATTCTTATTTCAGGACTTTCATCGGGCCAGAGAGTAACATGTGCACAAACCGTCCCTACACTCCACATTGAGTAAGGTCTCCTAAATACCCTGTGCACATCTGTTATCACATCACGAGCTACTTGTATGGTAATTTTCAAAAGCAGTTTCACTAATATACTGCAATACTATGTATGCTGGTATTTTCTCAGGGAGGGAGACTTTAAAGAATAGTTACTAGAAATAACATAAATAATATAATTTATTCTATATTGATAGCAACAAAACTTTAAACATTGGTTAATATTCCCTTCTAAGAACTATAGACTGAAAGTACTTGGTTTGGGCACTGACATTACTAGTTAAAAATACAAACTTCAGTTCAATAAAAATGTCAGTAGAAAATATTATGAAGAGTAGACTTTTGAAAACATTAGTGCAAATACTAATAATTCTACTCAGTCCCAAGGACAACTTTGTGAATCTTATTCTTCTCATCTTTTATAGTTTAGGAAATGAAGACTTACTTAGCAAGCATTAAGTAAATTGTCCAAAGTCACAGAACTAAAGATGTTTCAAAACCAAGCTTGTCTGATTCTGCAGTCTGAGATTTAAGTTATTATACGATGCTGCCTTTCACATAATGTATGGCACTGAGGAGTATATATATTTTTTTTAGACAAAAGCATAAACTTGAAGCTAAACATATTTAGGGCTATTAATATCCTGCATTTCAGGTAACAAGGTAGACAGTAATATTAATTGAAGTTTCTGATAAAATTCCATTCCTGATAAAATTTCACTGTGTGGAATATCCAAACAAAATAAGATACACAAAAGGAACAGCATGATAGAAAAAGCATAAGATGTGTAATTTATTAATTGTGACATTAGGCACATAATTTCCTTCTTTAAACCTCAATTTTTTCAACTTCAAATAGGCTGACTTGATTATTTTCTAAGTGTCATATCTAAAATTCTAAGATTCTATAAGAGAACTTAAAAAATAACGGTGATAATAATGAAAATGTACTTACCACACTTACTATTTATATAATCATTACATGTATTGAGTCATATACCCTCCTTTAAACAAATTAATGAAAAATCTATTTTAAAAATCCAGAAAAAATTTAAAGAACCAAAATTGAACTGTATGTTTAAGTTTGTGTCTTTTTCTATCTTATAATTACACATTTATAAAGTTAATGTCTGAAATTTGTAGTGCATTTTATTTGCAAAAATAAAAAATAAAAATACCTGTTTAGATGTGTTATTACATATCTGAATACATCATAGTTTACAGGATGAAACTTCTTAACAATTTCTTTCAATGCGTGAAGACGTTCTGTTTTATCTAGGATTTCTGTAAAATTAAAATAAGAAATTTGTGTGAAACTCACACATTTAAAAATATTTGATAAAGCTTCCTACTATGTTTATTGCAAAGAAACAATAACGTGTTTGATGCATATTAGGATATGTAAACAACAAAAAAAGTTTTAAAGAACTGCTAAAAATAATTAGCATATATTACAATAGCCTTTTGAAAGTAAAGCTAATCATTAAAGAGCAAAGTGACTTCAAGATAGTAAAATGGGAAATAGTATATTAGCTAAAAATTTACTCAAGCAATTTATATAACTACTGGTTTAAAATTAACAAATTACTTATAAAGCTGTTAGGCTCTTAATATTCACGCTACAAAGAGTAAATACTTTAGGTTTTGTGGGCTCAAATACTCGACTCTGCAATTGTAGCACAAAAGCAGTCACAGACAATATGTAACAAATGAGTGCGCTGCAATAAAACTTTTGAAATCTTAATTGCAGATAATTTTAACGTGTCATGAAATTTTTCTTTAACTCTGTCAACCATTTAAAAATGTAAAAACTATTCTCAGCTTGCAAACACCTACCAAAAACTGGTGGTGGGCTGAATTTGGCCCGTAGGCAATAGTCAGCCAATATTGATTTAAAATCATCACCCTATATGCTTATTGAAAATCTTTCTTCACAAGCAGTACAAGCATTTAACTCAGTTACTCTCCAAATTTATGTAAATTATGAAACAGCATTATTGAAATGAAATGTGGTTCTGCAGTAAATAGGAGATAAGAGAAAGCTTTACTGCTCTTCCTCATTCATTGCATTCTTCCAAAAGGTAACAATGAGTTCTTCTGAAGGAGGCCAACTGCATACCAACTCATGGTAGTAAAACCAAATATTACCAAATCTCATTTGCCACAGAGTACTTCTAAACCATTCCTCAAAAATGTCCTAAGGAAAACTCTGAGGTTATTGTTTATGATCAAAAAGTAAGAGAATCTAAATTACTGACTGAACCAATTTCCCAGTTTACATATGAAAGTATGTATAAGGCAACTATACCTTGTGACAATATACTGCTTTTTTAAGGAAGTTTTTAATTAAAGTACTTTAACATAATCTAAATTATAAGAAAGTAGTCTCACTTTAAGCTGGAAGACTTGTAATCAAAAGGAAATAGGAAAGAGGAATTCTAAGAAATTATATTCGTTTTAGCCACTGAGACAACAATGTAGATTAAGCACTAGGTTACCTGATACTCAAATACATCTTCTGTATCATTTTCTAGATAACGTGAATATTTAATAGAAACATCTGGATGAATGATGCTAAAGTAGGAATAAATATTGAATAAGTACCCATTTTCCTGCCTTACTTTTTCAAAAAAATGACTTTAGACATGAGGCCAAAGTTAATTTGACTTGAAAAATTTTAAATCCACAAATGTATAGACCACACACAGGTTAGTATTTTACTGAAGTACATTACAGATAAACTCATTTGAAAAGTTTATTTAATTTTCTTACGATGCCTCTGAGTTTGAATTAAAAATACAACTTTCAAACTTCTAGTACAATGATCTTCAAACTTCTAGGAACACTGTCACCTGGGAGTCTAGCTAAAACTAAGTACTCCCGGAGCCAACCCCAAGGATTCTGATATTCCTTATTTAGAGAAAAATATCTTTAAAACAGTTCTAATAAGCTGAATTTTTATTGGCTACACGTTCTAGTGCATGGCTGATTTTAAAACATAGTAATCAACACACAAAACCCATCATGCCTCTCAAAAAGAGGAGGCTTATATACTTACTTGCTGCTTCTAGTAGCTCTGGATGAAGAGAATATGGAATTAAAGGATCTGGCAGATCTGCAAAGAAAGCTTTAAGAGCTCCAGCTACAGCGTTTACTGTTACTTCCATTGATAGTAGACTGATACTATGATCTACAAGACAAAAATTTAAAAATTAATCTATAACTTATATAAAATTTTAATTTATAGAAGTATGCTAAACAGGTGCTTGTAGACCCAAAGATATTTAAGTCTTCTCATCAGCTACCTTTCTTTACAGGCCAATTCACCTCTCTCTCATTGTTTTAAAATAGATAAACTATGTAGATAAGGGAAGAGAGAACTAAGCTTAGTATATGGAAGAACATTAGCTTTTACTAATATCTATCTTCTTTTAAAATATTTTGTTTACATAAGCTACATAAGGAAACAAAGACAAAAGATAGGAATTATATGCATATAAATTCAATTTTATACCTTAGAAGTTAAAATTTTTTATAAGTTTAAATTTAAACACTTAGTGAAGTTATGATGTAAAAAAACAATGGAACACACTAAAAGTGTATCATAAGGTTAATTTTCTATTAAAAATAATTTTTCCTTATTTTAATGAATCCTTATGACAGAAAATGTGAAAATATAGACCACGAAAAAAGAAAAAAATTAACCCCATCACCCAGAGGAAATCACTGTTTATACTTTAGTATGTTTCTTTTCAGTCCTTTTCTAATCATTAAAAATAACAACAATAAAACCAACAACAAAAAACAAATCAGATATACATTTTATAATGGGTTTCATTTTTAAGGCATTGCATAGATTAAACTCTGACAAAGTAACTTTTTGATAACATTTAATTGTAATTTCAAACTAAGAATTCACATATATCCTTAAAGAATAATCACCAATTAACATTTTGCTCTACATAATTTTAATGACTACAAAATATTCTCCAGATTTAACAATTTAGATAATATTCTGTTACTGAATATTTAGATTTATTTCACTTAAAAACATTATAAAGATGCTATGATAAATACTTTTATGTACTAAAGCTTTCTCTTAAGGCTACATTCCTTGTAATAATAGCTACCCAAAGAACATTTAATATGGTGCCTGGCACAGAAAACTCTTCATGTGCAGTATCTTATTATTCTTCATAGTCTTATCACTCTCATTTCTAGATATGAAAAAACTGAGATTTAGAAAGATTAACTTTCCTAGGGCATTAAGACAGTTAAGTGACAGAACCAGAAAACAAAACTGGGAAGACTAATTCAAGAGGCCCTGGTATTGAATACTAACCTTACACTTCATTACTAGAAGTGAAATATTACCAGTTTCTCTAACACAGTATTTTTTTTAAATGAAATGATATATTATACAATATTCTTTCAAAGCAAGGCCAACACAAAACACTCAACGACTGACATTTCATCATTACAACACACAAAAAGCTAAAATATTTTATATGGCTATCTAGTATTCTTCTTATAAATTCATGAGCAGTCCCCCCTTCCTTTAAAAAAAAATTACAAAAAAGTGTGCAATGAATGCCCTTGTAAGTATATCTTTGTATGTTTATACAAAGACTTCTGTAACATAAATATTTACAAGCTGAATTTCTCTAGCAGAGCTACCTGAATTTTAATATTCATAAACTGCCTCCCAAAATGCACCCATAACCAAGAGTAAACAAACAAAATACTGGTTTGCCTACATCATACCAACAATCTTTTTCACTCTGATAATAAAATAACAAATACAATCTTTTTAATTTTTCTTTACAACTGACAGAGGCAGAGCATATTTTTATGTGTTGGTCACTTTCTTCTGATGTGAATTCCTTAATCTAGCATAGATATTCTACGCCCTTCCAAGTTTATAGTTTGTCTCGTGATTTTATGTTTTATCCACTGTCTCAGACAGAATTTTTACCTTTTTAGGTAGTCCAGTTTATCATCTTGTTCATATTTTCCAGATTTCATTTCAAGTTTAGGCCTGTCCCTATTCTAAGACCATTAAAATAGTCAATTACTTTCATCCCCATACTTATTATAGTTTTCATTTTTTCCATTTACATTGATCTCATATATAATTTACTTTATTATGATTAGAGAATTTAGCTTTTTTTTTCACTCCTAATGGTTAGTTAGCCCAATATCATGGGGAAAAATTTTTAATTGCATTTTAAAATAAGAACTATGTGACATACAAAGATGCTGATGTGTCATAAGTCGATTTATTACTTTGCCAATTCTGGTAATAGATTTGAAGCTCTACTCTTTCTTGACTGTGGTATCTATTTTATTAAATACATCTAATCTCACTTCCAAACTCTCTTCCGTCAACATCTATATCTTTAGAAGGTTTTCATGTGAAAATCAATCCTCCCATCATGACATTTCAATAAGGAAAATAATAAAACAATGATTTTATTTTATATAATCATCTTCTTACCTTGATCAAACTGCTTTTGAATATTGTCTTGATCAGTTTTGTTCCCACTAACACGGTAGAGTCCTTCAGTACATAATCCTAAAAAAATAATAAATATGCATGCTTTTTTATATGTACATATATATCTACAATAAAAAATATATTTAACCTTATGTCTAACTTAGTGACATACAAAAATATGGTGGTAGAATATTTTAAAGAATTAGATATTTTTCAGTATTTCATTTTAAATAAGTTCTTAATGGACTTCTTTTAATTTTAAACTATGTAGGACATCCAGCTCCATACAAAATGAGAAGGCACATTTCTCCCTATTTCTTCTATTAGACATAGCTAAATTCCTGAACGCAATATGTAAAAAACAAACATCGAACTTTGAATGATGGAGAGAAGGTGCGCACTGGCTAGTGACACTGGATCTTGAAGAACAACATGACACTGAGTTCCCTGTTTTCTTTTTATATCTTATGTATCCTAGACAAGACAATAGGGAAGCCTGCAACCCAGAAATACCAGTGAGCACAGGTAAAAAATAAAAATAAAGCAAAACAACACACAGAGAAACAATAACAACAAAAAAAAGCCTACTCTCTCAGTGAAAGAATTAGAAAAAGCACAGCCTAGCAAGCAAAACAAACATTTTTTACTATAACTGCCCTATTCCAGCCAAACGCTATGGAACCCACTACTCTTCACACACATTAGTTGTGAGCAAGTGGGGAGACTAGAATTCCACCTATGCTCAGGAGTAACTAAGGTGCCCCTTTCACATCCCTGGAGTGTCAGCAGAGTCTGAGTGGAAGAGCTTGACCTAATCCTCCTCCAAGATAAGAGAAACTTTAAAATCTGGGCTTCTACCACCACATTGCAGTATCAAAGCAGCCTTCCTCCCCTAATTGAGTACAGTGTCAGAGGAGATCTGCTAAACTAGATTGATTTAAATAAGATCTAAACACTCACAGCATATCCAAAATTTCCAAGATAAAATAATACTCAAACTAAAACCATTCATCATACTAAGAACTAAGAAAATCTCAAATTGAAAGAGGACAATGGTCACAAACACAAAGATGTCAGTTGTAGAATTATCGAATGAGGATTTTAAAGCAGCCACCATAAAATACTTCCGTGAGCAATTATAAACACACTTGAAATAATGCTCTAACATATATGTCACTGGGCCAAAAGTCTCTACTCCGCCGTATGTTCAATGGGAAGTTCCTCAAAGCTCTTCTGAAAGAGACTCAATTTGATAAGGCATTGTACTCGTCTGATCAAAGGGGAAAAAGAAAAATCAAAGGAAAAGGATTCTGTCAAACTTATTTCTGGAATAATGTCATGGCCTCTGCTTGGGACAATATATTAATTCTTTCTAATTTTTCACCTGGTTACAATTACTTTATTCTTTACCAAGTATGTATAAAGATATGAAAGGAGGACAAAACGTATCTCATATGGGGGGGGTCAATATTAAGAAATCCACCGACATAAAAGGAGCAAAAATCTACTGACAAAAGCTTCATGGGCCAAAATTATATTTTTTACTGATGTATGTTTTACTGATATAGCCAACATGAATTAATCTCTGGTGAATGAAAGAAACCAGACACAAAATAATTTATTTAGTATGATTCCATTTATATAAAGTTTTGTATCAGGCAATACTATTTATAGTGGGGGGGGGGGAATCAGAAAAGAGGTTAAATGAGAAGAAACATAAAGGGTGATGAAAATGTTCTGTATCTTGATAGGTGTGTGGATTAAACAGGGGTATGCATTTGTTATAACTCATCTAATTGTACCCTTAAGTTTGGTGCACTTCACTCTATGTAACTGAACCTTAGAAATAAAAAGAACTATGAGTAAATACTGAGCAAATACTGATCTTTATAGTTAGTAGGCTCCTAGTCTAGAGTGGTATGTATACTTTTTGTGTATTCTAGATGCGAGCAGAAGAGTAAATATGTTAAGGATAAGGGGAGAAAGGATTCTTATTGCTGAAGAAGAGAATTACTAATAACAAAAGTGGGACTAGAGCTAAAATACTTTGTGGTGTTAGAGTAAAAAAGGTATTGGCATAAACTCGTGGTTTTTAATATAGATACAGAAATAAGCATATATATGCAAACATACATATATTTCCTACCTTTGTCTGCTGAAAGAGTCCAGAATCAGCCCCAATAATGGTTTCTAAATACCATTCTCTATCAAAATAAGCCAGAGCTCTTTCTCAGAGAAAAGCCTGATTCCAAGGTTAGATCAGGAAAAATGTAAGCTAAGACTGGTAAATCTTGTGCCAGATAAGAAGAACTTAAAGAGTTATGGGAACATATCTTAAAAGGATGAGAATGGATTATAACTCACTAAGAATACATGAGTCCATACTAATATAAATAAATAAAAAGTTATTAAATCCAAAGTTTTAACCCTTTGGCAGATACAACCAAATGATCAAAATTAGTATCATCTATAGTGAAACAAACTGATATCCTGTCTCAACAGATATGATGCACTTAGAAGATGATATAACATCGCTTCAATAGTATTTCTAACAAAAATGAGTAATTCCAATCTAATAATGAAGAAACATCAGACAAACTCAAATTGAGTAAGAATGTTTATTTGTACAGTAAAATGCTAAGCAATAAACAGGAGAAATGAAAGAGAGAAAAAATAATCAATGAAGACTAAACCTAGTAGCTGAAAGTCTGATGACAGCCTCAATGTAAGAAAAGACAAAAGCAGCTGAGGAACTATTCTGAACCAAAGGTGTCGAAAAAGACATGATCACTAAATGCGATGCACCTAGATTAGATCCTGCCTGGACTGCCCTCTAATAAAGAATTAAATGGCCCCAAATGTCCATAATGGTGAGGTTGAGAATCCCTGACATAGTGATAAGCCTTTAGTATTATTTGCTATTATAAGGGTACTTAATCGTCCAAACCAAAAATCTTGCCTTCCATTCACCAGTAACTGATAGATGTGAAACAATAAACAAAAACACTAACTCTATTATTTAGATATAATAATATTACCCAAGTTTTACTCAAACTTAAACCACTTAAATCCCAAAGTATCTATTCAGGGCCTACAAGCAAAAAAGGCATTAGAAATCCATGCCAATATTCCAAAGCTAAAAATAAAAATTTACAAATTCAAATACCTTTTAACTAAATATCATCATCTTTTTTTCTTTTATTAGGTAACTAACCACTGTACCACACAGAATTCTTGACATCTAAAGTTCTAAAATGACTTTGACTTCTATTTGAGTTGCTAACATATACAATATGAGAGTTTTACAGTTTGTTAGCATATACCTTTAAGGTAAAAATAATTAAAAGTCATAAAATAAATTACAAAGGGTAGAGAAGTAAGGCACATAGATAGATAATCCATAAATCAGATAAATATGTCTATGGGGAATTGGCATCAGCAAAAGAAATGAAGATGGGAATTTCACGATTTGGTTCACTCACAAAAGAAACTACTGAGCTGCCAAAAAGTGTCAGAATCAACTTTTGCAGAACTCTGGAATCTAGTCAAAAAGAAAAAGAAGAAAAGAAAATCACAACCACCAGAAGGAGGCTTGGTGAAGAAAGAAGCTTTAAATTGCCACCCCAGATTGGCAACAATGATGAGGACGGCAGCCTATACTCTGAGTGCAAGTTGCAAATGCCAGAGGGAGCAATACAGATCTTATTCTCAACAAATTGTGGTTAATGCCCCCATACAGAACCAATCTGCAAAGACTTGGAAATATTTTTTTCCCCAATGGCTCCAGGCATTTAAGGAACTGTCAAAACACTGGCTAACTACTAAGTTGTGGAATAGATTTCAGTGGCCACGAATATAAGAATACAGACTTTACAAAAATAGTTTAGAAAACTCACAGAACAAGCAAACATAGCCAATAAACAGCAACAGCACATCCTAGTGATGGGGGAGAATCCGATTTTCAGAGATGCCATATTATAATATGCAAAACCTTTATTTTCAACAGAAAATTAAGAGGCATGGAAAGAAACAAAATAAGATGGTACATACAAGGAAAAAAAGAAATAGACACTAACTATGAGGACTCCCAGTTATTGCACTTACTAGACAAAGATTTTAAATCAACTGTTTTTAAAATGCACAAGGATTTAAGAAAACCATGAACGAAGGAAATCAGGAGAATGATGACTTAAATAGCAAATATCAATACATACACAGACATTATAAAAAAAGAACTAAAGAGAAATTCTGGATCTGAAAAGTCTAATAACTAAAATGAAAAATTTACTAGAGAGATTTAACAGCAGATTTTAGGAGGCAGAAAAACAATCAGTGAAGATTGGTTGAGATTATCCAGTCTGGAATTAAAAAAAGAAGAAAATAATTAAGAAAAATGAACAGCACCTAAGAGACTTCTGGGACATCGTGAAATGTATCAGCATACACATAAAGGCTTTCTCAGATAAAAAGGAAACTATTTTTAAAAATTATGGCTAAAAACTTCCTAAATATTAAAAAGAAACCCACAAATCTACATATCCAAGAAGTTCAACAAACTGCAAGAAGGATGGACTAGCAAAGAGGTCTACAATGAAAAACGAGAAGCTACTCATCATATCCTAGGAACCTACAAATAAGATTAACAGCTTATTCCTCTTCAGGGCAAAAAAAAAAAAAAAAAAAAAAAGGCTAGAAGGCAGCAAGATCATATGAATTCCTGAAAGAAACCATCAACCAAAAAATTCTGTATCTGGCAAAATGATCATTCAAAAATAAAATAAAGTTAAGACATCCTTAGATAAGCAAAAATTGAGGGGAGTCATCACTAGTCTATATGCCCTACAATAAATGCTAATGGGGGTCCTCTGGGATGAAATGAAAGTGTTATCATCATACAGTAACCTGAAAGCCATACAAGAAAATAAATAACTAAGGTAAAAGTAGTTGCAGACATAAGTATTAAGCCAGTACTAGTATTGTATTTTTGATCTGTAACCTATCCTTTTGTCCCTATATGACTTAAAAGGAATGCATAAAACAATAATTACAAATTGATGTTAACAGGAACATATGTATAA